ACACAAATGCATGCTGGGATTTCTTCCTAGCCAATAAAATAGACCATTTCTCAATGTCAGTCTGTCTTGAAGTCAGAACACTACATTCACTTACTTGCTCTTGTGTGTCAACCCCAATTCTTATTTTGTGAACTTTTTGCCATATTACTGTTAATTTGCCTTGCATATATCATTTGCTTGCTTTCATACTATTTTTATCTTGTTCTTTTTCTTGTTATTGTAAACATTGTTAATTCTGTTTGTTGGGTAGTTCTGCCATTTGTATACATTTAACCACAGCCACTCAATCTACATGATTGATATAAAAAGAATACATTAGGATCCTAGACCTCTTTCACTTCTGTTAATTCTATTGTATATATAGGAATAACTGCAAAACACTTTCCCCTCCCCAATTTATAGGCAGAAGCACACAAATGCATGCTGGGATTTCTTCCTAGCCAACAAAATAGACCAGTTCTCAGTGCTATCTAACTCAGTCCCAGTCTGTCTTGAAGTCAGAACACCACATTCACTTATCCGAATTTGCTTTTACATGTCAACCATAATTCTTAGTTTGTGAACTTTTTGCCATATTACTGTCACTTTGCCTTATTACTATTAACTTGCTTTATATATACCGTGGCTTACTTTGTATTATTTTTTTGCCCTGTTCTTTTCTTTTTTTCTTGTTATTGCTTATTTCAAACTTTGTCAATTCTGTTTGTTGGACAGTTCTGTCACTTATTTCGCATTTAACCATGGCCACTCACACTACGGATTTTAAATCCTGAACTAAATATATACAAGTGTGAGAGGATAGAAATAATAAAGAATTAATAGTAATAATGTTAGCCTTTTTTAAATATTAATTACCATCAAGAACAGTTCAATGATCTTTTTCAGGTTTTATATAATTTAAAAAAGATTTTTTTCAATTTAAAATAGAATTTAAATATAAAAATACAAGTAACTTTACAATTTAAAAATTAGCTTTGATAGAAATGGCATCATCTTACTTATTATAAAACGCAGATTGTGTGTGTGTGTGTGTTTGTACGTTTATATATTGGATCGGATTTCCTACATTTTTCAACCGATTTCAACAAAACTTCTCAGGACTACGTAAAATTACCTTGCGGTGGTTCTGACAGCACCAAAAATTGGAAAAACAATTGTTTTTGCACGAAATCAATTTGAAAACACGATTAAGAGGCATTAATGAAAGGGGGACAACTCATATCGAGTTATACTTATTATAAAACCCAGGTTGGTTGTGTGTGTGTGTGTGTGTGTTCATTTATATATGGGATCGGATTTCCTACATTTTTCAACCGATTTCAACAAAACTTCACTTTTTTTTGGCACTTTTTTTTTTTCACTTTTCGTATTGTCTTGCACACTTTTTTCTTTATTTTTACATTCAGAATGCTTTAAAAATTCCATTTACAAGAAAATTGTTTATAATAAAATTCTATTCAATCGGTAGACTCCTAATGATTGAAAATAATGTTTTTGTTTGAGTTTGGTTTTGACCAATTCGTAAAAAAAACAAAAAATAAAACTAATTAAGACATGCGTGTCCGTCAACCTTAAACAATAATCTTTGTCAATTTTATTTTTCAGTCTTTATGATGGTCGATACTTGATTCATCTCTTACTGTTACATCCCCGGGCAATGCCGGGCTCTACTGCTAGTTTTAAATATTACTTTACTAACGAGGGGAAATAACTCTTACTATAACACGGCTGTCATGGTAAAGGTTTCTTTAACATTATCAGCCACCAAAACAAGAGAAACAATCAGGTTGTATTTAAGTTTGATCACCAAGTAAAGTGATGTAAGCTTGTGAAGAATTATTGAAAAGAGAAATTGACGGTCCTGTGGTTCCTTTGCCAAAATGTTCCATTGGATGTTTTAGATCCAAGAAGAAGAGAATCGAGGAGATAGAGATGTGGTTCTACAGAAGGATGATAAGGATATCATGGACCGAGCATGTGATCAATAAGGTCTTAGGTTGCAAACAAGGAGGAGGCTTATACTTAATATCAGGAAGAGGCAGCTGAAGTTCCTGAGACACATAATGAGGAAGGAGGGCCTGAAGAATCTGATACTCATGGGTCAAATAGAGAGAAAGAGAGATGAGGGAAAACAGGACATACCTTTTGGAGGGGGAGGATTACTTTCAGTTTTTATTTTTCATATATGCTAAAATTATTTTTAGTTTCTTATAGTTATGGCTTTTCCTTTGAGGAGGATCATAGGCATATATTTTTGTCAGGTGGGGGTCTTTACTTAGGTAGTCCTTACCTCTTTGGCAATTGTAGCAAATGAGTCGACTTCAACAGTGTAAGGGACGCAACTCTTTCCGTCTGAAAATGTCTGACACGCTGCAACGCAAAGCAATGTACACCAAACACGGGTGTAATGCCGTTCTGCCAATTTCTCCAAGCGACCTGCTTTTATGGAGCCCAGACACACCTCATTAGCATGTGTGTAACGTGACTTTGCGTGACTGCACGAGACCGTGAATATTAAAAGTCACGGACGCCATCTTGGACCCTTTCTTTCCTTTCTCAACCCACAGGCCAGACAGGCACGAGGGCGTTTGGGAGTTAAGCCATTTCTATTTTCCCCACAGCAAAGATTTGGGGACATTTACAAGGAAGATTTTTCACTAGCAGTAGGTAGTCAGACTAAGATCTTTGTGATTTTTTTTTAATCATTTCACCCCAAGCAAAGCAACAATGCCATTAGGATGCAGGTGGTTACAGGGAAGAGAAGTGAGGAAAAAGACAATAAAGGAACAAGATTCAGAAAGACAGAAAATGGCAATTGACATTGCATTTAAATTTTTGAAGATTGTAGGTGACAGGGAAGCAAGAACTTGGAAGGGAGTTCCACAGGGGAGGAGTACGAGAAAAAAAATTATTAGAATAGAACTGATGGTTGTGTCTAGCTAGTTCAACAGTAAAATGGTGAGATCCAGTTGTCAATCTAGTAGCACACTTAAATTTGTGCAGGAGACACTCAAGAGAACAGCTTATCATTACAAGTGCCATGAAAATATTTGTAGAAAAGACAAAGGGAAACCATGTCACATCAGTGGGAAATTCGAGATGCTAGGTCAGGATCAATTACATTGCAGATCTTTCTGTTAATTTTACCAAGAATCTCAAGATATACAGTAAGAGTACTACATCAGATATAGCAGCAGTATTCCATGCAGAAAAAATTATTTATAAATGTGTAAGATGTAACTGATAAGAATTGCCTGGCATGACACAACAGCTCAATTTTACTAGCAGTAGCACTAGCAATTAATTCAATATAGTTGCTCCATTTCATGTCAGTTCAAAAGTGTGACTCCAAGAAGGCATAGGGTGTTGCTCGCCTAGAGTTTAGCAACAGCCGTGCTGATGGAAAGCAGAAAAGGTTCTCTGTGGTGATTAAATGAAAGCAGTTTTGTTTTGGAGGCGTTAAAATTTACAAACTATTCCTTGTTCCAGTTAACCACTGATTGGAGGTCCTTTTCGAGATTTTCCTTGATAAAGTCCCTCAGCTGACGAAATGCGTTAGCTAAGAATGGTTTTTGTTGAGATAATTGAGTTATCTCCCCTTGACCAATGTATGGCTGGAGAAGAGAGAGAGAGAGATTGAGAATGGTTGCGCTAGTAGATAATCCACATAGCAGCAGTATTAGCCAATCAGGATGCGCCTTCAGGTAAGCCGGTGACAGGAGCTGGCTATGTAAGCTCAGTGTTTAGAAAATCTCGAAGCTGACAACCTGGATAGAGGAATCTATGCTAGAGGAATTTGACAGTTTTACCTCTTGTCCTTTTTTTATTCATTTTGTTCCTTCACAGATACACTATCTGAAAATAATATATTTATTTTTAAAGAATATAGTGTCCATAAATTTTTCATTTTTTAAAAGAATAAAGCGTTAGGAAATTAATTGACCAAAAAAGCCTGAAGATACCAAAAGGTTGAAACCAAGTTAGCAGAATTGGCTGATCTCCTAATATTATATATATATATATATAAAATATAGTTTTAAGGTGTGCTATATTTATGGTATAAAGTGCTCAATATCAGAGATAGAGCGTATGTAAATATATATATATATATATATATATATATATATATATATATAAAAGTGAACATTGAAGTTAACATTCAGGCTGTTTCATGCTAGACGTAATTGCGAATTGATTGCATCTAGCATGAAACAGCCTGTCGCCTCTGAGTGTTGACTTTAATGTTTACTTCTATATTTATGTTTTTTTTAAACAATTGCAAATAATAAAAACAAATTGACTTCGTAGTAAAATTTTAAACAAAATAATGTTATAATTGGAAACTCTTTTCCAACAAATTTGAAATACATTACTACAATTGATAAAAAAGAAAATATAAAAAGAATTAAAATCACACCAAACGTTATTAAAAAATCTTTGAACATAAATAATAATAGATAAAGAAACTAGCGATAATGAGTTAATATTTATAGTCAAAGAAAGTGAAAGATAAACAAAAAAAAAAAAATTATATCTCTAAAAGCTTTCCTCCAGTTTTGAAAAATTACAACCAAATCATAAAAACAGAGAAATGTTACATTTCAATTTAAATAGATTAGAATCTAGAATTATTCATGCCACTACATAATAAATAAAACAAATACAATGCATTATGTTAACTCTTAGTGAGATATTCTTAATAAATTACACTTGATAAACAACATTTGTTTTAAAATAAAAATTGTTTTATGCCACAACTTATCTTAAAAATAAACAATAAAAATGTTTAAGAATATATTAAATACTACAGATGCATAATAACATAACAAATATTATAATAAACAAAGAAAAATAGAAGAATAATGGATAATTATAAAACTCAAGACTTTCCTTTTAAAAATAAAACATTGCTTTCTTTGAGCAATGGAAAAAAAAAAAAAACATATACTAAATCACAAATTGACCATTTACCAAGAAATTTAAATCATATACTGATAAGATTACCTCTCAAAAGATGAAACAGGTAAAACTCCAGCAAAACAAGATTGGAACCATTCTGTAAGTGGAATGGCTGACAGAATATTTTGCTGCTGCAAATGCTCACATAATTTAATGTCTTCTTTCTTCAGATAGTCAACAACTTTTTCCGGCTGAAATGAGAAATAACATAATTAGCAACAAAAATCAAAACTCTTCAGAAGAAAAAAAAAAAAAATCTCCTAATAAATTTATTTCCATAATATTTCTATGATGAGAAATTATTTCACCTGACAGATTTTCATAAAATGAAATAATTTTGGCTTTAAGTTATTGTTTACAAGGCTTGCTAACAAATAGCTATAATGTAATAAATACCATATTTGACCACATATAAAACCCATAACCCTCACCAAAAAAAAAAAAAATAGTTTACCCAAGATGCCAGAGGTTCCCAATACTTGTACCTAGCTTAATTATATATTATTGTAAAAATAACTGTAATGCAGTGAGGATCTTATATTCCATCAAATACAGTAATTCATTATTTCAGCTATGTTGGGTTAAAAATTTATTACTTCATTGGAGGATATATTTCAGCACCATAGCAGCCTATGCCTTGGCTCACTCAAAATTTTTACCAATTATACTTAGTTTTTTTTTCTTTCTTTATTGTATTTTGTTAAAATAAAACCTTGTAAAAAAAAAAAAAAAATCAAAGCAAAGAAGAATAAAATAATTTTTTTTCTTTCATCAATGAATCTACATTTTCCTTTTAGACATCCAAAAAAGATTAAAAGTTCTTTCATTTGTAACACAAACAGTTCTCTATTATTTCAAAAATGATTTCTGCCAATCTAGAGGGACTGAAAATTTTAGATATTCTTGCTGCTAACCATGTTGATGACCTTTGATAGCTTAAGACTAAATTATAAATATTTTTGGCCCCCTCTCCAAACACCCTGCTACAACACTTTCCAAAACATTTAACAACTAATATTTTTCTCTGGGCTATTGAGTGGGAATAATTGTGGATCTGAATGCCATTTTTGGCTATTTATAGTATTGTTTGTTAACATATAATTTCTAAAGAATTAATGGATTTTATTTTTTTAATCTGAGATTTTTATTCTGCCTTTATGGTAGACAAGATTACATTGGCTACATCCTAGTATTTTACAGAGCTGAAAATTTTGACTGCACCACATACTAAAATACAACTGTTTGAAATTAAAGTTAAAAATGTAGTCGCTTTGTAAAGTAAGAGGAAGAAGATACTAGACATATTATAAAAGGAAATTATATTTTTTTGTACAGAAAGATAATCTATACTTTAAATGTCTCAATTTTCAAGACATTTCAGGTTCAAATCTTAATTAGTAAAAGTTTACTAGATAACTTTCTCTACCAGACTGACAATGGTATATATTTCAGCAAAGCTTCAAGAGTTTTCATCCTTGTAGTTAAACCATCCTTCTTAAGTAAGGGTTAGAAATAAACTTTATCAGTTTTTATCTTTGGATTTTGGCCCAATGATTAGAAAATCCATGAATTTGTTTTTTATGGATTGTCAACACTTTGTGGGTTATTTAAAGCTGAAACATATTTTGAATTGTAAGATTTTCTTTTTGTGCAAGTAAATATTGCATTGACAATTATTTGTGAATTAACAATGATTTTTTTCAGTCCCTCTAATTAATCCTTAGCTGGGGGGCGATGGATTTACAGTCTTCCCAAAGGTATTGCATGTAAGAGAATGTAACAAACCAGACTGAACTTCAAACACAGCTCTCCGATTTCGCATACTGAGTTACTATCTATTATGCCATACACACATCTCAATCGCTAGAGAAAATATCACACAAACTATTTTAAAGTCATTTTCTTACCAATAAAACCAGCTGATCCGAGTATTTCTGAATATAACGATGAAACTGAGAGGTTACCCAGAATTGGTCCACTGGGTCATCAGTCAAACTTATCACAGCAGATGACATGGCACAGAATGTTCGATTCTGCAGTGGAATCATCTGGAAGGAAAGAGCATAAAAAACATTAAATACATCTTAAACTATTGCTGGGTTCTTGTTAGTCTTAGGTGTCTGCCATCTTTAAGATAACAGTTGCAAAACTGTGAAAAAAGAAAAGAATGACATCTTATTCAAAGTTGGTACATAAAATATACTTGTATCATTTTCACAAGACAAATAGTCTTCTGTAAATATTAAGTATCTCTTCAGTTATCTATGGATACAAAAATTAGTATACAACCTGATGTTGTATTAAAAAAAGTAACTTGTACTAAAAACTAATGTGTTTTCTATAAAGAGTTGTATTATTTTAAAGAGGGAAAAAATGAAGAATACTTCACAAGAAAAATTAGTTTGCTGTATTATATTATGGAGTTAATAGGTTAAAAAAAAATAGATTTTTTGTTGATTAGTTAATTTGCATATAAATCATAATTTGTTTTCTTTCTGTTTTTAAGCTTTTATATAAAGAAATTTTTTTAAAAAAAGAAGCTAATTACTAGATTTTAATCCTGTTTTTGATTTACAAATTCATTTTGAAACAATAATGAGGAAAATGATACTTTCTAGTAAAGAAAAAAAAAAAGTATTATTTTTTTTTTTTAAATCTAAGTTGATTTATTCCAGGGGTTTATGTTTATTTATTTACAGAATTTTGTTTGTTGAAATACAATACCTTGGCATTCTATTGAATTTTATTGAAGTATGCTTCAGTTTATTTAATAATTAGTTACATGCATTCAAGTTTAAAATCCATCAACCTTTTCTATTGCTTTTAAATTTGTAAAACTCTTCTATAAAAATAAACCATGTAAATGTATATGTACTAATTTTCTGATTACTAATTTTTTCAATAATATATGCATATTATTTGGAATGCGCTTTTTGAGTCAGGCAATCTTGGAAAGTGGGGGGGAATGACATTCTGACATATGGTGAAAAGGGTACATTGGGGGAAAAAAACAGTTGAAAGGCACTGGCTTAGAGATATCAGTTTTGTGGTAATTGTTCAGATGAACTTTTCTCTATGGTACCTAGGCTTTATGAATTTAGGTACTATACTAGATAGGCAACTAAGTTTCACCATTTTACAGTTGAAATGGCTAGATGTAACCATAAGTTCTTTGCCAAGAAGTTTCTTTAATCACACTTCTCAACTGGTCAGTTGATTTTGTTTAGCAGCATACCAACCTCTACAGGTTATTTAATGCCAAAATCTAAATATTTTGAACAGAATTTTATGGTTTCAATATATATATATATATATATATATATATATATAAAAATTTACAATTTATAAAAATGTAAAAAAAAAAAATGTTTTTATCTGAATTTTTTAAAAACACATTTATATTATCACTAATTCCACACCTTTCAAATGATAAGGGAAAAAAAAAAAAAAAACATTGGATGAATCATAAATATTCATCATCATCAGTCCCATGACTGTTTGTGGTCATAAAGTTATTGTAGAGCAGAGCACCTGACCAGCTCCCTCCATGTGTCTCTGTTGTGTGTCAATTTTTCAGTCTCTGAATACACTTGGTGACATTGTCAGCCTATTTTTTCCTCTGTCTGCCTCCTCTTCTTACCTTGCAAAATAGCAGTGGAACATTGTTGGCTCTTATGATGTTGCTGTATTATTACAAATTTTCTTCCCCACAGTGGATATTCCAGTAGGCCTGTTTCTTGTTTAATGGTGTCTCACACTGCATCATTTCTAATGCAGTCTTCCTAGATGCCTAGGATGGTTACAGAGCATCTCAAATCTAATGCATGGATTCTTTGCTGTAATTCTGCTTTTAACATCCAAGACTTGAAGCAGGCATACAGAAAGATTGAGAAGAATAATGCATGTAAATTTCCAGAACCCTCCTTTTTGAAAACTAGAAACTGAGACACTATAGAAATTTTTTTTTTTTTTCAAATATTTCTTTTAATAAGGAGTACAAGAAATATTTGCACATGTCTGACATTTTATGACTATTCAGATAAGCACAATGTAATAAAAGATTTGATGTAAATAAATTGGAAGTATTTTCTGAAGGGAAATTTTACTGTAGTTGGATTGTAAACCTTACAGAAGCACTCCAACTTTTAAATAATATTCGCTTACAATATAATGTATCTTCAAGCTTTCTTTAGACAAGAAAACTATTGGCAATCTTGGACCTTTGTTCCTGCAAAAAAAAAAAAAAAAAAAAAATTTTTTTTTTTTTTTTCTTGACACCACTATTATTTTAACTACCTTCACTCCTTTGCAAAGTGATGATTAGAATTTTAATAAAACTGAAAAATATGAATTTATACATTTTCTTTTATCGTTGAGAATTTACAACAAAAACACTATTAGATTCCTTATTTACACTATTTATCATATTGTTTATGGGCATAGTTGGTAAAACATCGGCTAATTGCTAATAGATTTGAACTTTATAAAATTATAAATAAGGACTTCTTTGTAGTTGGTTCATGTATTTTAATAATTGAGTAAATGTTTATAAATTTAGGAATAAAGATTGTTTTCATATTTATTTCTTTATAAATTGGTAAATGATAAATATTGCATTAGCTTTAATACAATTGAATAATAATTATTGAAGAATAATTTTAAGTTTACAACTTTCTACAAGAACGTTGTAAATTTAAAATTATTCTTGTAAATAATCTAATAGTGTTTAATATTTTTATTGTAAATTCTTGAGAACAAAAAAGCATGTATAAATTCACTTTCATCATATGATCAAAGGAAAAAAAATGTTCTTTTGATGAAGGTCCAAGATTGCCAAATTATTTATGTTACGACCAGGACATTTCAGCTGATCCAGTCTTCTTCAGGTGCAGAATTCGGGGGGGTAGAGAGAGATTACTTTTTTTTTTTTAAAGCAAAACAATAAGGTAGCTGTAGATTGGCTCATCCAAAACACTGTAGTAACAACACTACCAAAAATAAGTTCACTTGTTATAACAAAACTTAGAATGTTAATGGTTCTTCATAAAATTAAACACTGTAAATGCGTCTGTTTTGTTAAATTATTTTAATTGCTGTGTTGGAACTGAAACCAGCAGAGACGGAAACATCTGGAAACTTTGACAAAAATTCTGTTAGTGTGAGGAGAAGAAATTAAAAGGATTGTAAGTGTGCATTGAAACAGCCCTATTTCTCTTTCACTTATTGAATTATTTTATCAAACATTTCACTCTTTTTTTTTTTTTTCAACAATTTGCAAGAGACATGCACAAAAAAATCTTGAATATAAAATTGATGAAAAATATAAACAAATTTTCATCCACAATGTATTCTTTGGTTATTTTTTATGATACATATTGATGTGCAAAATCTTTATTTTCACCCTGTTGTTTAAAACTAAGATGGCATGGTTTGGCCACATCCATGGCATAACAGCCTCTGCAAGACTATCTCACAAGGTACTGTTGAAGGAGGACACAAGTAGAGACAGCAATTTAAGAGCTAATCAGACAACATGGAAGGATAAAACAATGCTGAAAATACTGAGAGCCACTGCCAATGTATCATCTTTGAGGAAGTTGTCCATTTCTTCTGCTCTTCGGTCCCCCTGACAACTGAAGTAGTCAAGGAACTGATTGATGATGACAATTAAAACTAAAGTTTAAAATAGAAGGTTAAATTGTAAACAGTTTAAACATACATAGATTTCTTGCACTGTGTAACTCATTAAAATTTTAATTCCACATTTTTTTGAGGGAGAGAGAGAAAAAGAAAGAGAGAGAGAGAAAAAGAAAGAAAGAGAGAAAAAGAAAGAGAGAGAGAAAAAGAAAGAGAGAGAGAAAAAGAAAGAGAGAGAAAAAGAGAGAGAAAAAAAGAGAGAGAAAAAGAGAGAAAAAGAGAGAGAAAAAGAAAGGTGTGCTTTTAAACCTCATGCAATCCAATTTTCAAAATAGGTGTGGATGTTTTCTGTCCATACCTACTCTTTAATAAACCATTTGTAGATAATTTCCACCTTTGGTACTTTTATAAGTGAAGATGCAAGATAGTAATGGCTGGCTGCCTGTATCTGAGTATACCTGTCTACTAGTGCAGCTAGCCAATCCCTATTGCAGACGCCTGCTCAGGCACATTTGTGTTTTGTTCAGAGCCCACGTGTGGTTTCTACTACAACTATTCTGAGTGGACCTTAGTTACAATTTCTGGGAGAGAGCACATTATCTGGCATGATCAACAGTCTGAACAAGACCACTACACTCAAACCCTCAGTCACAATAACTTGTGACTGCATACTAGCACAACTATCAACAGCTCCCAAATAGTTCCATCTACCCCAATTTCATTCACAAGGCTTGGGTCGGCTCGTGGTTTGGTTTTTAAGCACTTTACAAAAGTGGGATCACCTTCCTGACAAATCAACTATGGTGAGATTTGAACCCAAGTCTCATGGTTGGAAAGCAAATGTTTTAACCACTCACATACAAGATGTTGGATATCATTTTTTTATATTTTTTAAATGTCACGTCTCTTTAGAACAAAGGTGTTTATGACTCACCAGTTTCCTTTTCTTTATTACCTGTGAAATGCCAGACATTTTTTTTAAATATAGTAGTGTGGTTTGGTTTCTGTTGCCTTTACCTTCTTTTAAACTGGTTTCCACCACACCTAGTTGGTGAGCGTCAGTGAATGGATGGCAAAGTAAGGTTTGGGGGAGATGGCAAAAAGACAAAAGTTATTAAGAGCTACAAAGTAGAGGAAATTGTAGAGAGCCATGATCACCATTATCCTGAAGGGACACAGTATATATAAGATGCTGCTGATAACCATTACATTAACCACACATCCATTACATCAAGTAGGATGTAAAATGGATTTGTTTACAAATGGAAGTTAAGAAATGAATTCAGTATTACCAAATGCTTGTCTTCAAGAGGTAAAAGATTTTCATTAATCAAATGCATTTTGAGATAAACCTCAGGTAAAGGTGTTGAGTCGTCCACCCGCTCCATTACTTTCAGAGCATCATACAAGTTAGTGTATGTCTGCTTCCGGGCATCCTGAGCAAATTCATGGAGTGACCTTTCAGCAGGCCAAACACCTGGAAAAAGAGAAAAATCAATAGAGAAGTACAGACAGACAGGTATCAATAGAGACTTATAGATAAATATGAGTATAAAATAAGCTGGAAAACTTAAGACTGTAAAAAAAGCTTAGTGCTTAATATAAAAAAAACAGCCTACATAATAAAATATAGTTTTTAAAGTGGCAAAGTTTTTCAACCTACCATAGCTTCAAGTTTCATGGCTTCACAATCATCAGTGAAATTCATCCCCTTGACATTTGTGAAAACATGAAACTCAGAATTGTGGTAGGTTGAAACTTTCTGCTACTTTTAAAACTATCTTATATGCACGTGTGTTAGTAAGATGTATAATAGATGTATTAGTAGAAGTAGTAGTATCCAAAAACAAAAGTGGAGATAATGAGACAAAGTGAAAAGGCTTTTTATCAATGCATTTCAGTGACATATGTTAGACTCATCTTCCTCAGGTTGGAATGAAAAATAAAACCAAGTAAAATGCATTGGGATTTTTGAGGATAAGAGGGACCATAAATTAAATTACCGTATCAGATCCAATGACCAAAAAAGTGTTTTATATATATATATATATATATATATATATATATATATATATATATATATATATATATATATATATATATATATAAAATAGCCATTGAGGTTTGTTGGATTTTAAATCATACTGAGTGTAACAGCAAAATTGTCCATTTGTTAGATTAAGCTTTGAACCGTTATATCTTAGAAATCATTAAAGATTACTGGAATTCTCCAAGGTTTATATGACACTATTGAATTTGAGCAATAACAATGTATAATTACTCTCCAAGCTTAACAGAAGAATTATGATGAAATCAATCAAACGAAAATGACATTCATCATTAATTAATCATAGCTAAGGATTGGAAGCTCATGAAGGATTGAAATTAATTTCAAATATATATATATATATATATATATATATATATATATATATATATATTATTCCAGGATTACTTTCCAACTTATTCAAGATGATCTCCACCCTCTCTAATCTTTTAAATTTCTGTCCTGGAGTAACAAGGTGCCTCATAGGTTTCACATTTCATTTTCAAGCCTTTTTCACTGCTCTTTGAACTGTCATAGCTCAAACTCCTCTCTCATGCCAAATGTCTTATGGATCAAGTTGGATCTTTTCTAATTGTTCTAGCTCTAAGTTGAAATGATGATGATCCCGTTTTCCTCTCTACTTTTCCATCTTTTTTAAACTCATTACCGTTCTCTTGATGGTTCTTGAATGGATCTTTAAGAAGGAAGCCAGAGTATAGATGTTGGTACCATTACTGAAGGCCTGAATGATCTTTTTCCTCTCAGCATTGCTCATTTGGGAAGATAGTGGGTCTGACACACAATGATTTTAACCTGTTCTCTTTCTAGCTGAATAACTCAAAGGGTTTTACAGTGATTCTTAGGACAAATGATGTCAAGATAGCTAAACGTCTTATCTGAAAACCTGGAAAACAAACTTAAAAGAGAAAATTAGTGTTTTTTTTCAATATTAAACATTTTGTGGGATGGACAATTATGCAGTTACACTCAGTGCGTGTGCGCACATATATATATATATATGTATGTATGTATGTATGTATCCCCTGATGAGTGGATTGAGTGATTGAATTTAAAATCAAAACATTCCATTGTCCCTGTCAGCCTTCTTCAGGTGTCTGTCAATACAGGTAAGCTTCAGGGAATTTTGAAGTGAACCGCTAGGAGTATTATTCCTAATTTTGACAGAATTCATTTTTATCCGATAGAAAAAACACACACACACACAATTAATACACCACTAAAATTACACAAGATGAACACAGTTTTTTTTTTTTTGTTTTGTTTTTTTTTTAGATACATCACAGTACACACAAAAAAATACAGTTAACTTCTCACGGAGAGAACTTTTTGGTCTTCAAGTGCTGTTATCTGCTACATTAAGTTAACTTTTAAGAACTTCATTATATGTATTTCTGTAATTAGTGTTAGCCACAGTAATTCTATCTTACAAGAACTCTGTTTTATGTATTATCCACATATTGTTCATAAAATGTTATGTTTGATTTACATTCTGCCTTCTGATTATCTTAACAATTATGTGTTTAAAGTTTTGATTTGCTTGTTGGTATTGAGATTCAAGTTTTTTTTCTAAACTCTGAGTAGACGAAGATTCTTAAATTCTTTAACCTATGTTAGTAAGTTGACCTTATTCTGCCGTTTTTCTCTTATTCTTTTTATTTCTGTTCAGTTATTGCTCGCTCCGTTCTCACTGAGTTTGAATCTGTACTACGCAGCTCAGAATGGACTCACAATTACTATGCCTCCAAAGTTCAACTTTTCAAATCCTGTGGGGCAATAAGGGAATACTGAAACTAGAATTGGAAGCTTAAAAATAATTCATTGTGTTACATGCTGTTTGGCATGTATTCTCGAAATTAAAATTTTATTACCTTAATAAAAAAAATACTACTTCTTTTTAAGTTGAATTAGTTTTGTTTTCGTGTGTGCAAGAAGAATTTAATTTACTTTTACCAACTAAAAAGTAATAAAAAAAAAAATTAAATTGAAAAGCTATGGAAAGAAAATAACATCTATTTCCAAGAGTGTAAGAAAATAAGTTTTTTTTTAATGGTTTTTTTAGCAAATAACTTGGCACGTTTTTTTTAAGTGTTCTTTTCTGCTAAAACAATGGCAGAAAACAACTAGAAAAAGTACTCAACCAATCTATTTTCCCTGTTTCTTAATAAAAAGAGGTTTACATGGTTAACAAGCACTGTATATTTTTAAAAAGAATTATAACATCGCATGTTTTCTTATAAAAACATTTTTTAGCAAAAAAACACTAAAATTTAACCTTAGTAGTCGTATTTTTAACAAAGCTAAAAAAAAAAAAAATACGTAATATTTTCCATCTTACAAAAAAAGCATTGCACCAACTAAAAAAATCATATCTTAATTTACAAAAACATGAAATCTACTTTCACTTTGACATTTTGTAAACAAACCAACGCTTGACGGCTTTAATATTGATAACCGACAACAAATGTAACAATTCTTTCTATTAGAAATCTGAATTAAAATTAGCGCACAAATTTAGAATACAAGAAAAATGAAATTATTTCCTTATATTTATAACGCACTTGAGAAAAATGAATGGCAAATATGGTTCTCCTTCAAAATTGAATATGGCAACGACGGAGTAGTTAAACTTTTTAAAACAGGCTTATAAAATTAGGTTTAAATTTTTTCAGATATTGCCGATACATCCTTCCATAAACAACATAAACCAGAAAAGATTTATTTTCGCCTCTTGATCAATCAAAAATAGATGGAATTAATGTTGTTTTCTATGTGTAAGTTAAAAAAGTAAGTCGTAGGTGGAAAGGGAAAGATTTTATTTACGATCACTTTCCTTACAAGATTTGACAATGGCATAAAAAGAATGATGACAATTCATTTCCAATCTAACAGACACTCAATATGGACAACCTCCAAAACCAAAAGAAAGGAGGGGAAGAAAATGCCTGTTTTCATTGCTGTATGACAAAAAAAAAAAAGTGAACAATTTGGGGGGGGGCAAATCTACACTTTTTTTTGTTACCGAACATTTTTGTCACATATCCGAAATAAAAAATTCTCGACACAAAATATTTATTCGCATTTTTTTCTTCAAATAAAAAATATAATTATTCCATTTAAAAAAAAAAAAAAAAAAAACATATTCTTGTGGATTAGCATGTGAAAGGAATACATTTTTTAAAAATTTTAACCGTATTCAAGGTTATTTAATATTTAAAAAAAATAATAATAAAATAATAATATTTGGCTAACCATAACTACGAAGTTAGCGTAAATAAAACGGATACTTGTTTAACGAATATTTTGTTTGGAATTTATAATTCTTTAGTTAACTTTTCTTTTCTTTTTTTTTTTTAAACGACTTAAATAAAAATTTAAAGACAAGAAGCCAGTAATTGGATTTCACATTCTTCATTCTTATCTTCTTCCTGTGTAATTAAGCAAGCTAGGAGGTAAGCATAATACGTGCTTACTACCACAAACTTAGTGAAGACAAAATATTTATTTATGTACTAATTCTCTAGCTTTAAAAAAAAATGTAGATACTAAAAATACCATTTAAAACAACCATTATAGTGGTTTCTTACTGCAGTAGTTAGTACAATAATACACAAAATAAAAATGCCACCAACAAGAAATCAGTAGTCGAGTTTATTGCTCAACAACATTGCTGTTCTTCTCTAAACTTTTTATTATGTATTAAAAAAAACAAACAAGTAACATTATTGATATTAATCGATACCAGTAATAAATAATAAATTTATAAATACAGCAATTACGCTAGAATTGTTGTTCAATATTGTCTACGCATCTTTCTTTTCCTAATCTCCATCTTAAAAAATAAATCAGAGGTAGGTAACAATTTGCAACATTATGGTGCGTGCATGTGTTTTTTAAACCAAAAAAAATAAAACAGAACATTATGAATGGCCGGAACAATAATAATAACTTTTAGTTTTTTTTTTGTTTTATTTTAATATTTTGATACCAAAGTTGTTAATGTTAACTCGATTATTCTTGTTTTTGATGGCCATTCATAAAATGTAGTAGTAGTTTGAAAAAAGATATTTCTTCTTTCTTCCTCTTCTGAGCAAGATGAAAAAAAACACCCCCACACACACACAAAAAAAAAAAATAAACGTACCCAGCAAAACTTTCCATACATCCAGCCTGTATACAGAAGGTAGCGGAAATCTCAGCAAAAAGAACTTTAGCTTCTCGACATCCACCCGTTCCTCTTTCAAAAGAGATTCGATGTGTTTCTTCTCCTCCACGGCAGACACCCCGAATTTATTGTAGAAATAAATCCTGAAGTTGCGATCTTTTTCGTCTGCCATGGTTTGAAACTGCTTTCAGTTTCCCACCACCTTCCGTGAGAAGAAGAAATGATAAAAGATTTCGATGTGTTTTTTTTTTCTCTCCCCTCGCAGAAATGTCTACATATCGGCACGAAAAAAAATCTCGAACAAAAGAGACTTTAATCCATATTCGCAGTGAAAATAACTGATGACTCCTTTACTGTCGTTTGATAAATCTTTAGCGCATTCCTGCTGCCAGGTAAGTTACACCATAATAAAACAACTCGACTTGCTTACTTCGTCAAAGCAGAATCTTGCTATTTTTATTTTCGTATTTGCAGTTGAGTGGTTATTTTTATTTGTAAACAAAATTATTTTTTTGTCTTATTTTGTTATAAAAATTTAAAAAAACTAATAAAAGTATTAAAATAAATTTTAAAATTAAGATTTTTTTTGTTAGGATTATATATTTTTATGAAATATAGTTTTCCTTATATAGTCCCTTTCGATTTTTATATTAACAAATTGGTTTAGTTTCGTAGCCAACGGGATATAAAAACGCACCGATGCTTGCTGTTTTTGAGTATTGGGTAGATTCTTTGTAGAAGCAGCAACATGTAAATTAGGTTGATAATGCAAGTATAGCAATTTCAGTCATTCTATATTCTCTTTCCCCTCCTTTTTTTTTTTTTTTTATTACTCTATTTTTTTTTTGTGTCATCTGAACAAAAAAATTGTCAACAAAAACGTGGAAAATGGCTAAGCCCGTGAGAAAACCTGCGGTTCCAGTTTTGGTAGTCTACAACATTCCTACTCCCTCGCAAATCAACGAAAAGACGAAAGAAAAGATAAAAGCATGCGATGTCGCCCAGTCTCTGGAGAATCTCTTCAGCAAGTAAGTAAATTCATTTTATTTAAGTTTATTGCAACTGTTTACTTTAGTTTTGGCTGAAGAAAACAAAATGTACGAAGACTGGTTGGTTAGGGTTTTAAAGTCCCCCCCCCAAAAAAAAACAACTGACACACTCTTGTTACCTTGTGACAAGTTTTATTGTTTTAAATTATAAATTTCCGAATTTTTTTTTTTTTTTTTTTTTTTTTAATTCTAAAGTTGTCATTTCGTAAATCTTGTTTTTATCTTTTAGTACTAATAAGCAAAATTGGCATTGTTTCGATTTCGGGCCTTTCTGTCTACTTACTAAGTGACTATAATCACCTGCTGTTTTTATTTTGTAACGTACAAGTAAAAAAAAAAGTGCTATTGTTCATTTTCATGTCTTCAACAGAGGCTTTCTATTATCGCAAAAATATCACTACTTTGTTAAATTGCAATATTTCTTTTGTATTATAAATTCCGTTTATTTATCTACCATTACAAAAAAAAAAAGCACAACAATGCAATGTCCCTGCCTTAATACATCCTTTTTTTTTGTATATCTTTTTTAAAGTTTATTACAAAGGAAGATTCTTTTTAAAATCTCGAATGACACCAAAAAAAACATTTTGACTTTTTTTATAGGTCTTATTTTTTTTTCTTATCGAACTAGAGGTTTATTTCTTAGTTTTACTTTTACAGTACTGTTTTTGTTTTTTTTTTTTTTTTTTTTTTCTATCAAAAATGACTTCGACTAATTGACTAAACAGAAACTTGTCTGTTGGTGACCAAATAAAACTTACAAAAAAATGTGACTACGAGACTTGGTAAACTGCCAGCTATCTATTATTACCAAAAAAGACAAAAACAAACAAACCTTCTTGCCCATCAAATTAACCACAAAAAAGACAACTGGTGGTAGCGTTGACTTATCGATACATTTTATTTGAAACTGATCATGCAAACAAATAAAAAAAAAAAAAAAAAAAAAAATAACCACTTCGAAAATGTCTGAATTAAGAATCGCAACGCATATTCTAATATTTATTTGCTTTACAATGCTTTTTTTAAAACAATTTAACAGGCATAATAATTGTTTTACCGCCCTGCAACAACATTTTTACTATTCTATTTTTACTCGGTAGAGTTTTATGTACAAGGCCACGGGACACTAGGATCGAATTATTAATCAACGAGACTCTGGCATGGCAGCAGTCTGAATGATTAGAGAGACTGTATTCATAGGTATGATGGACTTCATTCCTTTTGAATACATTTGTTATCCAGAACTGCAATCTGACAATTAAAAAAAAAAAAAGTAATTACTCGTAATTAGGAAAATTATTTCGGGCAACATGCAGCGATTTCACTGTGGCATACAAGCATCTTTGAGAAATTCAGCATTATTTAAAAAGTTTTCAACTAATTCTACGTATAAAAGAAAAGTGTATGTAGAAAGTGCTTTAATCACGATCATCTACACTTAAATTTGTGTCCAGGTTGTTAGAACTTTTCGCTTTTCTTGGCAGATCATCTCTCAAAATATGGGTTGTTTAATAACAAAAAGTGATAAAAATAAATGAAATTGGCTAGACATACACATAGCTATATATAAAAATAACTGGCCATTCCTTATTGCAGACGCTCGCTCAGGCACATTTGGGTTTGTTCAACACCCACAGAGCCCATATGTGGTTTATACTGCAACCATGCTGAGCAGACCTTAGTTATAGTTTCTGGGAGAGATCGTGTTATATAGTGTGATCAATCTGAACAAAGCCAGCATGCTCAAGCCCTCAGCTGCAATGACTTGTAACTTTGTGTTAGCACAGCTATCAACGGGGTTCCAAGAGTTCTGTTTACCCAATTTCACTCACAAGGCTTGGGTCAACCCATGGTAGGGTTTTCAGGAACCTTTTCAAAGGTGCCACACACTGGGATTGACCTCAATCTAGTTCGATAACATCAGGAAGTCTCCTTCCTGACAAATCAACCATGGTGATTCGATCCTGAGTTTCATAGTCAGAAATGTTCTAATGTTCTAACTATATATTATATATGCATATATATATATATATATATATATATATATATTGTTTATATCTGTTATTTTTTATAGATACATTTGTTTAAGTATGCTCTGTTTATAATGAATAGTATTAATTACATTTACCAGCATGAATGTTAGAAATTTTGTAAAAAATCTGCCCTCCAACAGGAATCGGACCTCTGTCCTACACAGAAGCATCATTTGATCTGACTTGCCATACCACTCACCTACAGAGGAAGCATCTGGTTATCAAAATTACTGTTTTTTTTTTTTTTTTTTGTTTGTTTGTTTTTTGTTTTTTTTTTTTTTCAAAGTCACTTTCATAAAACATTAAAGACTGACAATATTCTAAATGTCATTTAACTTTGTAACCCAGTGCTTTTACAAAATAGTAAAAATTTTAATTAGTATTGTTAGTGACCAAAGTTTATACAATATTAGCTAATGTAACTCCATGCTAATTGGAAGAAAAACTTTTTATCACGCTTAAAAAAAATATTGCTATCTCTGTATCATCTGAAAAGATTGTCAACAAAATAACTGTTTTTTTTAATAGCTTTTGAAATGTTTTCTCCACTTCATACCAAATTAATTCCTTTAATTCCTATATAAACATAAGGACTCATTTGTAGAAATCATCTTGATCTGCCTCTCTTATCAAATGTGTGTGTTGCAAGAGTGCTCCTCATCCAACCAGCTTCATTGTTGAACATAGTATTCCTTAGTTCTGCTAGGTCTGACCTTCACAGCTAGGCCTCTTTATGCCACATAGACTGGAGTGAACCATCTCCATTCCATTTTTTTGTCATTAAGAAGGAAGTTCCACTCATACAGCTTCTTCCCTATAACTGCTGCTTTGTGGAAGACACCCTTGATCACTATAATATCAGCCTCTTCAAATCTAGGGGTAACTGTTGTCTATCCTACATATCATAAGCTGCACTTTTTACCGCTTATACTCTTACAAAAACTTCAGTGCTATATATATTTGAGTATAGTGCAAGTTTTTATCAGTTTCTTATGCCAAAAAATATGAAGTTGTACTATACACAGGAATTTTTCTTATGAAGTTAAAAATCAGGCATTTTCAGTGACCTGTTGCACTGGTATTTTTTTTTTTTTTTTTTTTTTTTTTCTGGAGAGGTTAAGATTCATGCATTTTTGTAACCTACCTAGCTTTTGGTTAACCTTAACACTACATGTAAGCTCCTTTTGTCTGCCTCCCATAGCTTAGATTCTTTCTTTCTGTTGCTACATCAATAGCAGTGTCATTCATTATGTGTCTCTTTAAATCTACAAATATCTTAAATGAAAATTAACAATTTTTTTTTCTCCTTTCTACAATTTGCATTCATTGTTGATACATGTTTACATTGCAGAGTTATTGTTTTTCCAGTGGCATCCCTTTTCTCTGATACATATCTATACCATATATATTTCACTTGTGTTCATTATTCTCTCTCCCTCATTTTATTTACATTTTCATTTATTATATTTATTTACATTTACTGGTATTTTAACTTGTAATTCTCTGTTAGATATTCTTAAAATATTTACTGCAATATATGGTGATGGTTTTTCTCACCATTTTAGGGGAGCTTTGGGCAAAAAAAAAGAATGAAGACTGTATTTGCTATAAAACTTATCCTTTGTACCACAATATTTGACTACAGTAGGCCAGCTAGTATTTTTTTTCTTTTTTTTAAAAGCTGGGATCATATAGACAAGCTATAAAAAAGATCTGGTTTTTCACAAAAATTCAGGAGTCTTGCTATACATAAAGTAGACTTATACATGGGAATATATCGAAACCTTCTCCCTTGAGTGGCCCTTGGGTATTGCGTGAACATTAATTAAAAAAAAAAAAAAGTTCAATAATACTTTGGGTGTGTTAGTTTTTTTATATATATTTTTTTTTTTTTTTTTTTTTTTCATGCCATTGAAAAATCAGTTCCTATATGATCAATGAAGGTAAGCGATATCAAACCTGGCCAGTACCTACATGGGTGACTGCTTAGGAATACCAAGTGTTGCAAGTTTGGATGTGCAGGCAGTATAATGGATAATGGCTTGGAATTGTTAATTGGAGAACAGTTCCAATTTTAATTGGGTTTG